CTCTGTACCAGCTCTGTCTGGAGTATGTTCTCCTGCACTGCATACTTTAAACACTAACCTTAAAGATGATCACAGGACAGATACATCATCATAGTATTTACGTTGATTTTGTATAAGTTAATTGCTACAGGCAGTACTCAATAGAAGAAAGGGTGCCTTTCTAACATCAGAAAGTGATTTCACATTACCTCTTATTTCCCATTTGCCAAGATTCTCACAGTGGGACAATGCTGGAATATCATACGTTAATACATATGGAGGCTTGAAGGGTGAGTACCTCTGATCAATGATCCTCACACAGGTGTACCGAAGAGATGATATGAGAGTCCCGGCACGAGGCAGCTTCCTAAGAAGGCAATTTCACTTCTTAAATGAATTCTTATGAAAAAATCAATGGGTAAACACCACTTTGTGGTACATTAAAGTTTATGATACATGTTGCCTGCTGTCCTAAAAAATCAATGCTATCATTTTATATTTCTGAATAACAGAGTAAAAAAAATCCATTTTACTGCTTTCTCAAAAACTTTGGATATTTTAATTTTTGTTCTTGAAGTATTGACAGCTTGATAAACTAAAATTTACAACCACCATCTTCAAAAGACCCTTGTCTTCCTATGATTGTGTTCTTGGAAGTTCTTTTCTGTGGCAATACTTATTTCACTTCTCAAGCATATTCCGGAGATACATCAGTTTATACCCCAATTTGATGGATTTTCTAATCTAATTTTCTCTCTTCCTTTATTCCATCTGTGATGTCACTGAATGGGTCTGTGATGAAAACTCTACCCTTGAGTGTTGATACTTACATTGCAATGCCTCTAAAATAAACAAGGAGCCCCTCCACTCTTCTCTTAATTCCATTATAAATATATAATTTCCAGTAGTATTCTGTGAAGCAAGGCAAGTAGGGATAAATACAAGAGTGTAGCCACATCATTACCTGTTGGGAGCAAATAATTGGTCTAATGAGTCAAACTAATGCTAATACCTGGCCTTTTGTTTTATACTTTTCTCCTCACCTTTCTGTATCACAATAGATTAAAAGCAAACAATGATAAACTCAATAAGGAAAGAGGAAGGAAGGAAGGAAGGAAGGAAGGAAGGAAGGAAGGAAGGAAGGAAGGAAGGAAATATCTCAAAGGAAATTTAAAACACATCTGGCTGAGTCATCTATTGAGAGTGTACATTGCATGTATAACAGTTTTAGCGTTATCCTGCGACTTTATTCGTGTCCTGACTGTGTGTTTATTGTCATAGATTTTCAGAAGAATAGCAATTTTATTACTCTCATATTTCTGTTTAGCTCAGTGGAGCCCTATCCAGTCCATATTCCACTGGAAAAACTGAGTCTCCCATGATCCTTCTCTCCAGGCAGCCAAGATAATGCCAGGGCTTAATGACTTGTAAACCACTGTAGAAGGATGGTCAACCTCTACCTGTCATTATTGTTACCACTGAAATAGATGTCACATTAAGAATGTCTGTCAAGATGTTGTCAGGAAAACTGTATCCAGAAATAAAAAAGATTTTAGATACATTTTTTGATTCAGATACTTTTTCATCCTCTCTTAGCTGTCTAACATTATGTTAATCCCTATATTGTTTTACATCTTAAAAATATTTTAAAGTGTCTCTTAAACATATGACTCCTGAATTGCATTCAGACACTCAAAACTCATTGCTATCAAATCAGAGCCAACTCATACCTGACCCTGTGGTGGGTTATCAGAGGCTATAAATTGCACTGAAGGGGAGTGTCCATCTTCTTCTCGCACGTCAAATGTAGGGTACAGAAAGTACATAAACAAAATAGGTAGGCCACAAGAAAGAAAAACAAAAACAAAACCAAAAACATCTCATTGCTATCTAGTCAGAACCACCTCCAGTTGGTTTTCAGAGGCTGTAAATCACATGGGAGGAGATTGTCCATTTTTATTCTACAGAGTAGCTGGTGCAGTTAAAACACCATTGGGTTGGAAGCACCACTACTTAACCAACAGACCACCAGAGCAGGGGAGACCTCAATATGCAGCTAATCTCAAGAATTACTCTGGGATTTGAATGTTATGATGGACTAACTTTTCAAAGGGCTAGATGTAGGGTGAAGAGTGTAGAAATAGAATCCACTTGCCTCTTGGTGAAAATTCCCAGGTAAATTGTGTGAAACCCTGTTCTTTATCTTTGACCTATTTGAAAGATACTTACCACCATATTTGAAAGTTGCTGTCAAGGACCTGTCCAAGATGTTAAGGAGCAATAATGTCACTTCAAAGACTAAGGTGCACCTGATTCAAGCCATTGTCTTTTGACTTACTTGCTATGCATCTGTAAATTGGACAATGAGTAAGGAAGACCAAAGAAGAGTCCATGCCTCTGAGTTATGTGTTTGAGAAGAGTGCTGAATATCCCATTGTAGAATAATATCCATGAAAGAATATCTCAAGAGAATAAACAAATAAGTCTTGGAGAAAGAAAAACCAGGGTGCTCCGTAGAGGATGATGAAATATTGTCTGAGTCATTTTGTTTGGAGGGGCTGGGCCAGTCCTTGGAAAAATGCATCATGCTTGGAAAAGTGCAAAGTGAAAGGAGAAAGACCTTTAATGAGATGGATTGGCACAGCGCCTCTAACAATGAGCTCAGGTCTATCAAAGATGGTGAGGGTGGTTCAGAGGCATTGTGCAGAAGGTCATCATGAGTTATACTTGACTTGATGGTACCTAACAACGCCACCTCCCTTTGCATCTGCCCGGCTGTTTCCCAGCCTTTCCCTCCCAGGTCCCCAGTCCCACTCTCCATCTCCATTCTTGTCTTGTCTTGATTGTAAATACATTTGCTCCATCCTGCACTTTTCTACCAAAACATCTGATCCAGTGACAGACAATTCAGTTAGTTAGAGTTGATGGGACTAACTCCAAATGTCACTAAACACAGAATTGAGGTGGATGGCTAGCATAAAGCTTATTCCTCTGGGAAAATTTTGGTTTTCATGCATAGAGTAAGAAGAATCAATACAATAAGGAAACACATGAGAAACAGGCAAATTAAATAAGACAGCTTCAGTAACAAAAAAAGTCACCAAAAGTTCCCATATTGGGCTGTGAGCACAAAAAAGGTTGGTGGGGCAGGGCATACCGGGATGAATATGGGTCCTAACACTGGAGCAACCCTTCATGGTGAGTTGGATAGCTCAGACCCAGGGGCCAGTATTTATCCCAGTGGGAGAAGTTAGAGATGGACTGGGCAGCAGCTGAACTGACACCTGGAGGAGCCATTGAATAGAGTGGAAGGCCAGAGGCGAAGAAGACGCAGAACTCTCTCTTCCATATCTCTGGTCCCCGGCACTTCTCATAATCATTATGTGAAAGAAGGGTTATGAATTTTAGCAGTGACAAGGACGTTGTGACTTCTCCAGCTTTGCACTCTAACGGGTCTATTCATCTCTATTGAAATCCTTATCCTGACTTACAAGTCAAAATAAAGGAAATGCAATAGAAAGAATTAAAACTCATCTCCAGTACTCCTCTCATTTTTAAATTTTCATTTACACAATATTTCCATATGAATGTTGCAGTATTTCTCATGCCTTATTGTTAAAATGTAAACCATTTACACTTGAATGGAGAGCTTGCATATTAACTCTATTTGCATTTGAAAACATAAATTAAATCACAAGATGGTTAACTGCTAATATTCAGCCCAATATATTCTCTCTCCCTTTTGTTTTCAAGAACCCACACATTGCCAAGTACAGATTTTACTGCTCAGAGACTGAATCTCTGGGATGATTTACAATAATTTACTCTGTGTGCTGCTGCTGGGGAGGCCAGCTTCTTTGTTCATCCCATCCTCATCCTCTGAGGTTCAGGAAGTGTCTGTCTTCCTGCCCAGAGCGTGTCAGTCCCACAGGTGTCTCCAAAACAGACATTCACACATAGTGCTGGGAAGCACGGATCCTGTGGGTTTGTTTTTGAAAGTTAAAATCCTGGGTAATTGGTAATTTCACATCAGTTGGGAAAAAAAGCATAAGCAATCAGTGAGCATGAAGTCATTTTTGCATAAAAAAGGATGAGATTGGACCTTAGCTGTGAGTTAATTTTATCTAGGAGCACAGGTCACTGAGTACAACATCACGTTTTCAAGACATTTGGGCTGACACTGGACTGCTTCCTACAGGGCCAATACAGCTCCTGTTCTCCGTTTTTATTGATGGAGGCTGGGTGTAATTTGACAGGAGGAAGTTTAGCTTGACCTGACAACTTAGTTTTCTATAACACTTTCGTTTCCATGCATGCTATTTCCACCCCCAAAATCAAATTGCCTGGACCAGCAGGCTGTTTGTGTGGGCACATGAATCTCTTAGAGAAACACACACAGTTCTTTGACTCAGACTTTCACTGTTTCCCTCGTTGCTTCTTTCTCCTCCCTCCTCCCCCTTTTGTTCCAGAATTTTGCTCATTTCTCCTTCTGCACAGGCGAATAAACAAGGCTCTTACTAAATTATTAGAAAGCCTAGTGACGGTGTTGATCTTTCTAATTTTCCCTTTAATGCCAGTGTCAAAACTCTATGGTTCAATGCCATACATGATAATATCAGAAATCATTTATTAGATTAGATTTAATAAGACTGTGACTTCCCTGTTACTAAAGCAAGCCAAATGTCAAATCTTAACACATAATAAAAAGGAGATATTGTGGCACTTTTAATAAGGACTTCCCCCTTCTTTTATCAATTCACAGTGCCTCCAACCTGTAACAGGGGTGAACGTTTCACAGCCTCAAAGTAGCATGAAATGAAAAAGAATACAGACTTTTTTTCTTTTTTTCACATCAAAACAAATCATACAGTTAAATTTGAACAACATACATTTCCAACAGATGCTGTGCACAGAAGGGGAAGCTGAGGCTGCAGTATTCAGGTTGCAAACAATGTAAAAAGTCTCTTGTGCCTCTTTTTGTTTTGTTTTGAATTTTTTGGGGGCACAGCCTCTCTTGCTATTTAATATCGACTGGACAAGTCACAGTGGCCTCCCAGAGGGTAGAAGCAGATGATATCTTTGAAGGTTTTCCTCAGTTCCTGGCTCCGGAGGGCATAAATGAGAGGGTCGACGATGGAGTTACACATTATGAGGATGAGGTACAAGTTAAAGTGAGACATGAAGCACACGCAGTAGGGATTCTGGGGGCACGAGATGTAGAATATCAGGTGGAGGAAGAAGGGCGCCCAGCAGACCACAAAGACCCCGATGAGGATGGTCAGCGTGATCGCCCCCTTCATGTTGGCACCTTGGCGGATGGCGCCGGTGCCCGGGAGGACAGCGATGCGCTTGATGTGGAACCTGGCCATCAGGAACATGTGGACGTAGAGGGAGGCCATGAGCGCCAGCATGGTGAAGAACATGGTGATGAGGCAGATGAGGACCACGGTGCTGTCGGAGTAGATGATGAAGAGAATGCCCGAGACGGTGCAGGCCGCCCAGATGCAGGTGATGATGATGGCCACCCGCTTCCCGGTCATGATGTTATGGTACTGGAGGGCATAGAAGATGGTGAAGTACCTGTCCACTGCGATGGAGAGGAGGCTGCAGATGGAGGCCAGCAGGGAGCTGCAGATGACCGAGTCGATGACGTTGTCGATGTTCACGGTGAAGCTCTGGCCGTCCGTGTCCGTGCTGTTCAGCAAGGTGATGACGATGGTCTCCGAGCCATTGGAGACGCTCACGAGCATGTCGGCCACCGCCAGGCTGCAGATGAAGAAGTACATGGGAGAGTGCAGGTTCTTGTTCTTGGCAATGGCTGCGATCACCAGCATGTTCTCCAGAAGGCTGATGACCCCCAGGGTCACGAACACCTCGGGGGAGACGAAGAGTTGCTCATAGCATCCTCCGTCGGCGTAGGCCTTGCCCAGGGACACGGAGGCGTTGCTGTGCAGCCCGTACCTGCTGTGGTTCCAGATGTGGAGAGAGGTGTGCAGCCCCGGGTGCTGCTGTGAGGAGTTCATCCTGCGGCGAGGGGCCTCCAGGCCCCCCGAGGTCAGCAGCTCAGCTCTGCTCCCCAGTTCTTCATCGGCCTGGAAGCCAGTGTCCTCACGCTGATTGATTGTTACAAGCTCTAAAGCTTGCAAGGCGGGGCTTCAGCGCCTTCGAGTCTAGGCTCTACCCCTCCTCACTTGAAACCGCAGAGGCTTCAAAATGTTCATTGTCAGTTCCAAAGAGTCTGCCCTGTTGTTTTCACTTCTGCTTTAACTTTAGCCGCGTGCATTCAGATCTCTGAAAAAGAATTGGCAGAGCAGCCGCGGTGCCTCTGCGCGCCCGGGCGCCTGCATGAGCGCGCGATGGAGAGGCCACTGGGGGCGCCCGGGGCCGCCTGCACGTGCCCAGGAGGCGGAGCAGGAGCGCGCGGGTCCCCAGGCCCTGGGTCCGCTCAGCCTTTGGCGGGCGCCGTGGTTACCGGCTGCTGGTTTTTATGCTGTCTGCGAGGGGGCAATGCTCCGAGTGGCTCCTCCTCCGCTTGCTTCTGACCAATCCAGCCCAAGTGCTCTCCAGTCAGTGCGAGACGCAGATTTGGTTCCAAAGACAGAAACTGCAGCGCAGCTGGGAGTCCGTGCAGAAGCAGGTGGAGTCAGAAAGGAATCAAGCTGGGGAAGTGGGGGGGTGGGGGTGCGCGCGCAAAATGCAATAGAAAACATACTGCTCTATAAATAGATACGTGGTTTTTGGAGGTAGTATGCCAAATCTCTGGCCTCTTAGTGTCTTTGAATTAGGATCCCTTCGAGCAATGTTAGAAAGTAATGCTTCTCTTCTAAAATGAGCAAAGCACTGGACAGATGTTTCATTTTACAGGTAGACTTTGCTATACAGGAATTGTGATGTTAGTAGCTACAAGTGCATCGGGGGCCTCAAGAAACGCTTCCTTTCCCCCCTTAAGTGCGCGGATATCTGTGTTTCCCGCTGCAGAGTGTCTAGTAACAGCTGGGAAAAGTTTTCTTTGCATTTGGAGTCACCGAAGCATTGTTAACTCCATTTACTTACTCTCTCTCTCTCTCTCTCTCTCTCTCTCTCTCTCTCTGTCGGCGATATTCAGTTGTGTTTACTTGTCTGATTGACAGCAACCATTTGACTTCAGTAATGATAAGCCCTTAAACATGTGGCAATTGTACATACTCATGTCAAGACTAAGGGGTGTCTGTTAATAATCAGAGTCTCTGAATGTTTGCTTAAAAATAGTTCTGAAAGAAATTGCTTTTCCATGTAATCAGTCTCCAGGTTGTACCATTTCATATCCTTTTCCTTCTAGTTATTCAGTTTGCATGTTTCCAACTCTCTCGCTGTCACCTCCATTCTGCTCTCTCCTGTCATTGTTGTTGTTGTTGTTATGTGCCATCGAGTCTCTTGTGACTCATAGCGACCCTATGTACAAGAGCCCTAAACGCCGTTCTATCCTGTGCCAACCTCGCCATCTCAGACACATTCATTCCCACCACTCCACTCACAGAATCGATCCATCTCATCGAGAGTCTTCCTCTCCTACATCGTCCCTTCACTCTTCCAAACATGATGTCCCTCTCCAAGGACCAGTCCCTCCTTGCAACATGCCCAAAGATGTCAGACGAAGCTTCAGAATCCTTGACTCCAAGGAGCATTCTGGCTTCACCCTCTCCAGGACAAACCTTTTTGTTCTCCTAGGGGTCCATGGTATAGGCAACACTCTTCTCCAGCACCACAGCTCAAAGGCATCAATTCTCTTTCTATCATCCCTATTCACTGTCCAACTCTCCGATGCATAGCATGTAATTGCAAAGATTATAGCCCGGATCAGGCACACCTTAGTCTCCAGCCTGACGTCGTTGCTCTTCAGTACCCTTGAGAGGTCCTTCACAGCTGACTTTCCTAATGCAATTTGTCTCCTGATTCCCTGACTGATGTTACCAAGAGTGTTGACTTTGGAACCAAGTAAACGGAAACTGTTAACTATCTCAGTCTCTTCACCATCCATACTGATGCTGCCAGTTGGCCTAGTGGTGAGAATCTTTGTTTTCTTGTTGTTGAGCTCCAATCCATATAGGAGGCTGTAGTCCTTGACCTGTCTGTCATTACTGACTGCAGATGTCTTAGCAGTTTCCTGTTGTACGTGGAGGAACCATGTCACTGAAGGAACATGGCTTCCTGGATGTCAGTGCAGAGCATGTCGGAATCTCCAAGTCCCTCATATCCCAGGCCCCCAGCTACACTGACCTGCTATGGGAGTGAGCAGTGGTCTTGACTGTGTCAGGCTGCTGAACAGGTGTGTTTATCAGTGACAGCTGTGTTATGGGTCAAATTGTGTCTCTCCCTAAAATGGCTATAAATTCCAACCCTTCCCTTGTAAATGTGATTATTTTTAGAAAATGAATTTTGGTACTTTCATGAGATCATAGCAATGTAAGATATAGCTTAAATCAATTGCTTTTAAGATATGAAAAAAAGAGGTGGATTTGGCACAAAAGAAATCAGAGAAGGAAAAGAGAATTAAGAAGCAAAAGTTGTAGAGAGGAAGACTTTCTCCCAAAAAGAGTCAGGGTGTCAGAGGGAGAGAGAGAGGGGTGGGGGAGGGGGAGAGAGAAAGAGAGGGAGAGAGAGACGAGAGAGAGACACTATTTTCCTGAGCCAAACCCCAAAGCCGTTTCTGTTGAGTCAATCCTGATTCATGTCAACCCTCCATTGGTATTCCAAAGCTGTAAATCTTAATGAGAACTAGCAGATTCAAACTGCTGAACTGTGGTTAATAGTGCAACTTGTGACCAGCTGAGCCAGTGGGGCTCTGAATTTGGGTTTCTACCTTTCTAAATCGAACAAGAATGCATTCCTGTTCTTGTGTGAGAATACTCTCTACCCGCCCTTCAGAAGCCAACTAGCCAGCCTTCCTGACCCTGACTTTCAAACATTTCAATGGGCTGTTTAGCAGCAAAACTCAGTGACATGAGAATCCTTTCTTTCCCATCACTGCAGAAGTATTGAATGATACAATAAAAAAGCAATGGAGAAGAAATCCAGGGAATTCAGTCTAAGGGGCAGATTGCCCCCTGAGGATGGTCTTTCCGATCTTGCTTTAGTGCTCCCTCTTCTCTTGTTGACAGTCCTCCCACTCACACGGCTCTAGGCACCATCGACCATTCTGCCTACCAACTGAAGATTATAGGTTCTTCCCAAGTGATGGACTGTTTTCAAGGAGAGAACATGACATAAAACAAACCTCCATCAGCTTCTAGATCTCCCAGGACTAAGCCACAGCTTGTTGAAAGCCCTCTGGACATCTCATACCCTAGCTTTGTCTTGTAAACATCTTGATTATTGCTTAGTTTCATCTACTATCCATCTATCCACCAGCTACTATAGACAATGACATTTGATTGGTTTCTAGAAACATCACTGCGGGAACACTGTGCTGGGTGGGGCCCGAGTTAATCAGGTAACCCACAGGATACAGTTGTGCTAAATCTGTGCTACTCTCACCTGTGCTAAAGCCCACTCAGAAACCACTGCGCTGACCCACCTTAACCAGGGTCTTCACTGACTAGACACATCTCTAAGCTTGACATTCTTTTCTAAGGACTAGAGCCTCCTGATAACACGCTCAATGTATATGAGATGGAGACTTAGAATTTTTCCTCCTGAGGAACACTCTGACCTCACTCCTTCCAACATAGTTTTGTTTGTTCTTTTTGTACACTCACTCAGTCATCACGACGGAGTCAGAAGCTACTCATAGTGACCCTTGACCAGGTTTTTTTGAGGCTATGAATCACAAGACAGGAAAACACTCCTTTTTCTCCCGAGGAGCCCCTGGTATATCCAAACACCACAGACTTGTTCTCTTTAGGTTCACAGTGCTGCTCAGCACTGACCAGGCCACCACAGGCCCTGTTCCTTTGGCTGTCTATGGTTTACTCAGTATGTGTTACCAACACCACAATTCAAAGTCATCAGTTCTTCAGTCTTGTTCATTGCACAACTTTTATGTGCATATGAAGCAGCTGAAAACACCACACTTGGATCAAGTGCATGAACAACCTTGCTCATAAGCACTTTATAGAAGTCCTTGATGGGAGATTTACTCAATACAACATGAAATTGAAATTCTTCTCTGTTGCTTCTCTGGATGATGTGAATCTAAGGAAAACAGACTCATTGGCAACCTCAATCGTTTCTCCATCTATCATGATGTTGCCTGTTGGTCTAATCTGAGGCGTTTTGCTATGCTGAGCTGTAATTCATGCTGAATGCTGCACAGTGTGAGCTTCATCAGTAAGGAACTGTTTCAAACCATCTTTACTTATTATAATCAAGATCATGTCATGTTCATACCACAGGTTACTGATGAGTGTTCCTACAATCCTGATACCACATCCTTCTTCATATAGTCCAGCTTCGAGTATTTAGTAAGCATACATATGAAACAGGTATGTTGAAAGGATACAACCTGGACTCATACCTAATTTTAAACCATACAGTGTTCCATTGTTACTATTTGCCTTATGTACAGTTTATGCAAGAGTTCAATGAGTACTGTAGGATTTCTTTTCTTCCTCGATGTTACCTGTATTTTATTAGGGTCCACACAGCCAAAAGCTTTAGTAGAGTCAGTAAAACACAAATGAACATCTTTCTGATATTCTCTGCTTTCATCAAGACCATCTTTCCTTCACTCCTTTGTTTAAATAAATTAATTCCAGAATGTGGATGCAGTTGGGGGCCTGTAAAAGGAAGATAGTGATTTTATGTGGAGAATGAAGATGATAATTGTCTCGCATACTGGTAAGTTTACATCCATGAAGTAGGAATTGGAGCTCTCTGTGTCACATGCTTCTAATGTTTTCGTTCTACTGTGGACTGTCATGTGCAAATGCTTTAAAATTACATTACATCCTCACCATTGAGCTCATAGGCAACATCATGATAGATAGAGAAAGGATTGGAATTGCCAACGATTTTGTCTTGCTTGGATTGGTTATCAACGCTACTG